GTCCTGTACTCTCACCTATTTTAGATTTTTTTGTTTCTTAAAGCTTTTTATTTTGAAATACCAGAAGTTACAAAATAGTTCATAGAGTCCCGTGAACCCTTCACCCAGCTTCCTCTGTTGGCAACATCTTACATGACAGTAAAATATCAAAACCGGGAAATGAATGTTACATTGCTATGATACTGTTACCTAGACTGTGGGATATCTGGTTTTTAAAAAGCACCAATATTCTGAAGTTGTAAAATAATGTTTTTAAAACGCAAATGATTTATGTCTTGGTATTGGGTGAGGAGGTTGACAGGAGTGAAAGATACTCTGAAAGCAGTAGCCAGGCTTGGTGCTGGATAAGAAACAAGGTCGGGCAGTTTTAAGAGCCTGGTCCCAAGCTCAGGGGCACCCTATTCTTTAGGAAAGGCCTGGAGAAAGTGGAGAAACAGAGCCCGGGTGGAGGGAGATGGAAACTTGCTGTTGGGTTCGGTGGGACTGCACGGTGTGCTTTTTGCCACGTTGGGCTGTTATCACAGCCTCATAATGAGACGTGTGAGTCCACTTGATCGGAGACAAGCTTATGCCACCAGCAGAAACATAGCAATTTTTCAAATAGACTTTATTTTTGGAGCAGTTTTAGGTCCGCAGCAAAAGTGAGATATATGTGGAGCTGCCGTATATCCCCGCCCCGCACAGGCCTGGCACCCCGCATTAGCAGCATTTCCCACCAGAGTGGGGCATTGTGGCTGAGGATGAACCCCCGCTGACACAGCATCATCACCCAGAGTCCATCCATAGTTGACCCCGGGGCTCACTCTTGGTGTCGTGCATGCTAGGAGTTTGGACACACGTGTAATGACGTGCACCCTCCATTACAGCCTCTGACATGGCGGTTGCACTGCCCTACATAACCCCGTGTTTGTCCCATTAACCATCCCCTCCCACAACCCTCGGCAAACCATCAATCACTTTTTTTTAAAGATTTTTATTTATTCATGAGAGAGACAGAGAGAGGGAGGCAGAGACATAGAGGGAGAAGCGGGCTCCATGCAGGGAGCCCAATGCGGGACTTGATCCCGGGTCTCCAGGATCACGCCCTGAGCCAAAGGCAGATACCCAACCGCTGAGCCACCCAGGCATCCCTGATCATTTTACTGTCTCTGTGGTTGTGCCTTTTCCAGCATGTCGTAGACTTGCAGTCAGACAGTAATAATATGCACATTATCATCTCCATGTCTTTTCTTGGCTTGATGGCTCATTTCCTTTCAGTGCCGAATGCTATCCCACTGTCTGGACAGACCCCACTTTATTTATCCACTCACCTCCCGAAGCACATCTTGGCTGCTTGCATTCTTTGGCGATGATGAATGGAGCTGCCACCAAGCTCCATGTGCAGGTTTTGAGTTGGGTTTTCAACCCACCGATGTGGCCTTGGGTGGGCACCTGTGTCTGCGAAACCATTCATGCATGAGTGAGGAACATACAAAAAACAAAACAAAACAAAACAAAACTCACCCTCTCTCTTGTTTTTGGATGGATGGTGAGGTAAGGGTTTATTTCAGTCTTTTATTTGGTGTCTTGCCTCGCTCTCTCAGACTCGGGATTGTTAAGGAAGCAAATGATGACACTTTTGTGTCTAATTAACAACTTCTGATGGCTCCCAGCCTGCCACAGCTTGTTCTGTCATTCTCCTGCTGGGGAGGAGGTGGGTATCTCATGGTTTCAGGGTTTCAGTCTGGCTCGCTGGCACGAGATCTTGGAAGTGGGGTTTGCTTTTTTGCTGCTGTGTAGCCCCGCCGGGGAGCAGGGGTAAGGGTTCGATGACACTGGCCAACAGGGGGAAGAGGGTGCCACTCTTCCACCACCTTTCTCTGAGTCTCTACCTTATTCAAGAATTCTCTATAAGCACCTCCACCAGGCATGACTGTGCAAGAAGGTCTTTCTGTGCCCTTTTCTGTCCAACAGCTCAGCTGTTCTGGGCGAGAAGGCCCAAACCACAGACTCTACTCAGCACCCTGAGGTTGCCGTGCCCATCACATGGCCCCTTGGGAACTATCGGATGCCTGTGTCAAGTCGGGGAAAAGAGTTAATAACTGGCGGTCCTGACCTTTGCCCTAGTTCCTTAACCTCTCTCTCTAAACTTCCTCTTACTCAATTAAAACAAAGGGCTGACTAGTCTGGAGGAGTCTGGTAGCCTTAGGTGCACCAAGGATCATGGAATCTCCCCTGGTGCGCGGAGCCGTCCTGTCTGTAAAACATCACCGTCGGACAGATTTGTGTATCCCCTGCAGCCTTTTCCAAAGGACTGTGCCTTCTTGCCAGCTTGGAGACAGGGGAGTTTGCCGGAGATGGAGCCATTAGCAGAGTGGGGTTGGGGGGGTAAGACGATGTCTAAATCCGTAAAGTCTGAACTCGCACATTCTTGGAATTCGGTTACAGTGAGGTTGTTTTTAAACTGTTTTGCAGTGAGGCAATCTTACCCTCCTAAGGACGCTACCCTAATGTACTTGAGGGTTGCAATTGCCACATGGGTTCTAGCTGTCCCCTTGCCTTGTGGTCATGTGTGGATTCCTCCCTGAACCCCACCAGTTCCCACATTGTTTGTACTCCGATATCAGAAGCTGGGGGGATTAAGTGAACTTCCGTTTGCCTGTCCCCCTGTCAGGTGCAGGAGATGATGGGGGAAGAATTTAGTTTTTGCTCCGTGGCCCGGGACACACACGAGCCCGAGGCATTTATGGACACACAGGTAGGGCGAGGGGTCTGGTGGCGAGTGCCCGTGCTTGCTGGGGAACCTCAGGTGCCTCCTGCCCTCAGAAGCGGCCCCTGCCAGACACATTATCTAGGTCAGGACATTAAAGATTGGCCAGCGCTAGCGAGGACCCCACTGCCCCCGAGCTGGCCCCCACAGCTGTTTGCAAGCTTAGAGGTTGGAAGAATGCCACCTCGTCCTTGCGCCCTGCCTGTCTGTCCAAAAATGCCGATGGCAAGGTAGTAGGCACGCGAGCAGGCACACTGATTCTTCTCGGAGAGGCAAGCGTGCAAGCGTGTAGGGGTGCAGCCGGCCTCACATGCACGGCGGGGGGGGGGGGGGGGGCCCTTCCCTGACCCCAGCCAAACCCCAGCCAGCAGCTCTCCCGGGGGCTCCAGGGCCCGCTTGCTGCTGTTTTTCTCTTTGGATCAGCCCACTCTTGTTTCAGGAGTGGAGTGGGACTCTCCCTGGGGCGTTATAGGGTGTCATCTCTGGCATTTGCTCCCACTGCAGAAAAACAAGTCCATTGCAATGCACTCGGGTTTCTGAACAGCTGCCCGAGCGCCGAAACCAGACAGTCAGCAAAGCTGTCAGAGAGAGAGAGCAGGGACTCCGGGGAGGGCCGCGGCGGGGGGGGGGGGGCGCAGTCGGGATGCCCGGGGCGGGGCGGGGGTGGCGCCCGGGGCCCCTGGGCCGGCTGGGGTGCGGGGAAGGGGTAAGGCCCTGGGGGGGGGCGGGGGCGCCCGGAGTGAGGGTCGGGCTGGGGTGCAGGGAAGGGAGGGAGGCCCGGGATCGGGAGGCCCGGGAGGGGCGGGGCGGAGCAGCTGCGCCCGCCGCCAGGGAGCGGGCGCGGTCCAGCCGAGCCATGCGGGACGTGAGCGACGTGTGGCAGGCTCTGCGCGCTGTTCTGCTGCAGAGTGGATTCCAGGAGCGCCGCCTTCTTCCTTCCAGGCGCACTGGAGTCGCGGAGGCAGCCCCGTGCACCTCTGCAGGGCAGCGCAGCCCCTCGGTGCTGTCCCCTTGCCTAAGGGCCAGTGTGCGGGCAGCAGTCCCCGCTCTAAGCACCCGCATCTTCCCGGGGGCGGGGGGGGGTGTCACCGGCATGACCACGCGGCTGTCCCGTGTCACGCACGAGCGGATGCAAAACCCCAAGGGCCGTGGAGGCCGGAGACACACAAACCCAAAACACGGCGAGGAGGAGGTGCGAGCTGTGCAGGGTGAACGTCCTGAATTTTAGGGTTTGCATAATCCAGGGGCCACCTCCCAATAGTTATTCCGGGGTTTTGTAGTCAAGGGGACGCATTGCAGGCTCTAGTTTTACTCACTCTTCTGCTCGGAGTTGACAGTACAGTGAATATTGTAAAAGGTGACAGCGAAGACCAAGGTGCCTGGCCCGTTGCATTCTGCACCCCCCCTCTCCAGCTTTCCAGTCTGGGTCTGGTGCCCAGCCCCTTGGGCCTCTCAGCAGCGAGCCCCCCCGGGGCGGGGGAGGGGGGCTGGTTCCAGGTCTCGGGGCTGCGTGTGGGGGGAACGGTGCTCAGCACAAGTCAAGGTTTCTAAGGGATTTAGGAAGGCGGGCGGGGTGAGGATGAAGGACCAGGGAAGCCCCTTCCCCGGGTGGGGGGGTGCAGGGGTCGTGGCGGGTGAGACTCAACACGCATGATTATCAAGGAGCAGCTTTGTCAAGCGGGGTGACCCGGAGACCTGTGCCACACAGGCGCTCTGGGCATCCTCCTCGGGCTCTCCCTAAGGTAGCAGAGACCCCCCAACCCCTCTGCCATCTGTAGCCCTGGGCCCGAGTCTTCAACTTCACCGCGCCTGACCTGGGTCGCGCGTTAAGAATGTCGAGTATTGGGGTCCCCGTCCCAGAGAGGCCCGGTCAGCGGGATGCATTTTAACCAGCATCCCAGGCGATGGGGCCGCCAGGGCCCATCCGGGCACCACATGGACGGCGCCGCTGCGTCCCTGCCAGCGCTGCTGCGGGGATGGTCCTGGGCAGCCGCGCCAGGCATCTTTAGGGGACGCAGGAGGGGCAGGCTCAGAGCGGGGCTCCTCGCCCGAGCCGAGTGTAGGGCGTCCGCCCCGGGACCGCAGGAGCCCACCTGCAGGGGGCGCCCGCAGGCCGCCGGCGGGCCTGCCCACCCCCCACGTGAAAGAGGGCTGGAACCCGAGGAATGCGGCCCCGCCCCGGGGCTGACGTGCGGAGCTGCCGGCCCCGACTCTTAAAAAGCCCGGGCGCAGCGCGCGGCGTCCTAGCAGAGCTGGAGAGGCGGCGAGCGGGCGCGCGGGGCGCCGGAGCGGAGCGGGCACCCGGCGACCGCGGCTGTCAGCGCGCTCCGAGCATCCCGGGCTCCCGCGTAGACGCGCCCGGCCCCGCGGCGGCCGCGGGTGCAGCCCCAGCCCCAGCCCCAGCCGCAGCCCCAGCCGCAGCCCCGGCCCCGGCCCCCGCCCCGGCGCGGCGCGCGTGGAGCCTCACGCCCCGGGCGAGCGTTCGTCACTTAGCACAAAGCACGTTTCCAAAAAGCGGCGCACGGGAGAGCTCCCGCGCACCCCCACCCCCTTCCCCTTTGTTTCGGGGGTCGGCAGGCCGCGCTCCTCCCCACGCCGGACTTCTTCGCGGGGGGGCGCAGGGCCGCCGAGTGCAGGCTGTGAAGATGCCCTTGGAGCTGACGCAGAGCCGGGTGCAGAAGATCTGGATCCCCGTCGACCACCGCCCCTCGCTGCCCAGATGTGAGTGCGGGTCCGCGCGGGGCCGGGCTGCCGGGGGGCGGCGCGCCGCGTGCACGGCCGGGCCATTGTGTGGCGGGCGCCGGCGCCGGCGGGGCGCGGGGCTGCGGGCTCCGGGCTCGGGCGCCGCCCTCCTCGGCGGTCCCCGCGGGCCGGGCCGGGCGCTCGCCGCTCCTCCCCGCTCCTCCCCGCGGGCGGCCGGCGGGGCTGGGGCGGGCGCTGCGCCTCCTGCGGCCGGCGTCGGGGGCGCTGTGGCCCGGCCCGCGGGGCGCGGCGGGGTTCGGCTCGGCTCGGCTGCGCTCGGCTCGACTCGGCTCGGCGGGGCTCGGCTGCGCTCGGCGGAGCTCGGCTGGGCTCGGCTGGCTGGGCTGGGCTGGGCTCGGCTCGGCTCGGCTCGGCTCGGCTCGACTCAGCTCGGCTGGCTCGGCTCGGCTCGACTCGGCTGGGCTCGGCGCGGCTGGGCTGGGCTCGGCTGGGCTCGGCTCGGCTCGGCCGGCGCTGGGAGCGCACAGACGCCGGGACAGTCGGAGCGCGGGGGCCCCGCGGGCGGGAGCCTCTGCTGCGGGGACGCGGGGCCCCGGAGCGCCCAGTCCCCCGGGAGCCGCGGCGGGTGCCCCCGGCCCAGCCTCTCCCTCCCGGCCCCCCGCCTCGGTTTCCGCCGCCTCTCCCTCCCGCTGCCCATGCATCTGTCCCTTCTCTGGATTTCCATCTCCAGTTTCTCTCTTCATTCTGGGGGTTTGAAATCTCCACTCGTCTTTATTATTATTTTTTAAAGATTTTATTTATTTATCATGAGACACAGAGAGAGGCAGAGACACAAGCCGAGGGAGAAGCAGGCTCCGTGCAGGGAGCACAGTGTGGGACTCGATCCCGGTCTCCAGGGTCACGCCCTGGGCCCAAGGCAGGCGCTGCACCGCTGAGCCCCCCGGCTGCCCAGCCCTCCTCTTTATATTGCTGTCGGCTCCCTCTTCGCCTCCCTGTCGCCTTGCTCCCTTCTTCTCCCTTGGTGCATTTTCTTTCTCCTTCCCGTGCCCCTTTCTCCTGGCCTCCACCCTCAGTTTCTATGCTGCGGGTGACAAGAGAGCGGCCGGGAACCAGGCCTGTGCTCCTGGGTTTGGAGAGGGTCCGCACATCAGTGACCACACAGTTGGCAGCATTTCTCACTTGCGTGCATGAGCACACCACACCCCCCCACACACGCACTCCACTGTGCTTGGATTTTGCTGGCAGTTCACCTTCCTGCCCTGTCATCAGCCATGAATGCTTTGGAAAGGTTTACCTTTAACTTGGGCTCTTCCCCAGCCGCGGAGAGAGGCCCCTAGTAAAAGAGTGGTCCCAGTGGTTTGAAGGCAACACCTGCTGTCCAGGTAACCCATCCAGGAGCCTAGGGGGCCGGATGGGGCCAGTGGAGTGCTGGGTATTGGACTTCAGGCGGGGTCAGATTACCTGAGACTACACATGGGATCCTGGGTACAGATCCTCAGGGTGGCTTCCAGGCAGGGGTGGCTCCTGAGCGCCAGGCCACCTGCTGGCCTCCTCTGCTGCCACGTTTCTCAGGAGATGGCTGCTGAGGCTATGGTGACATCTTGCCACCTCAGGCTTTGCCCAGGTCTGAATCACCAACCCTCCCCCCTCTGTCCCTGTCCCAGACAGGAGGTGGGGAGAGCTGGCTCTGGGGTGCTTCTAGGTCATCCTGGTGATGGGGACCTGGCAAGGTGCTCCTGACAGTGGGGGCCTCTCCTCCACGAGCTTGTCTCCTCTTGCTGGACCTCAGGTTCTTGGGGCCACAGAAGCCTTAAGAACTGGTTTCCTTGCAAGGCAGCCACGGGCAGGGGCTCTGCAGGTCTGTTTCTTGCTCCCAGCCCTTTCAGACACACTCTTAAGTAGCTTTCTGAACTGGGGCTGACCACAGTATTCCCCTGTTTGGGGGGGGGGGCGGTGGGCAGTACCCTGAGTCGTGTGGGAGATGCGGCCACGACAAGACACAGAAATGGCCCCACCCTCTTGCTTTTGAATAAAACCAGTATTTATGGAGCACTTTGTAAGCTATAATTGGCCATACAAATGTAGGTTGGTTCTCGCTCTATAGGTAAAACCTGTGTTTTTGTAGGGGTGTGTGTACACACTTGTGCACCCATTTAGAAGGGCCCTGAGGTTCACGGTGGAGACGTGAGGTTTGTTGTGGAGCACACGAGATTGGCTGGCATTCGCTCAGTCGTGTGAATCGGAGAGACACAAGCGTGCAGCTATGCTTCCTTCCTCCGGGCTTCAGAGACCCATCCATTAGACGTTATCAGTCTGCACGTCTCACACGCAGATGAGAGATTTGCCTAAAATCCCTGTGAGAACCATTAGAGCTTGGTGTGTGCATGGGGGTGGGGGTGTGTGTGCTAAAGCTGATAGATTAAGTCTCCTGTCCCCGCCCACTCCTGGAATCCTTGTGTGTGGTTCTGGGGTGTAGTCTCAGACACATTCTTCCTTATAAAAATATCTGCAGCCTGGGTATTTATTACATGACCTTATTTCAAGTAGTGGGGTCTTTCTCGGGTCACATAGTCACATTTGTCTCTCGACAGAATGGGGAGAAGAGGGTATTTCTCCTTGAAGCGCCTTTCCTGGTTCCCTTCCCAACCCCATCACCTTCCTCCCCTTCTTTAATGGTACTTGGAAACTTGGGTGGATTTTCTTCCTTCTAAAACCTGTTAACCGCCTTTCTAATTGGTGTCCTAATTGAAGGTCTGCAGCAGATTCCTCTGAGCTTTATTAATTAAAAGATGACATGGTGACCATTAGTGTTTGTGTACAAAGAACAGTAAAACAACGACCGAGCGCTCCAGGTGGGTTAGTTTGACGATGATGTCTGTGTCTAAAGCACATCAGTCGGGTGCCCTGTTGCCGCACCCACGTTGTAGTAAACGTTTCTTACAAAACCTGCAGTTTCCTTCGATTGCAAACTGTGACAGGACTTACTGACAAGGAAGCCGTCGACAAGGAAGTAAATTAGTGGGAAAGGCCAGCTGTGCGCTTAGTTTACCAGCGCTGATAGTTAAGAACCTCTGTGTGAGAGTCTCTACTTTTTTGGGCGAGGTAGTTATCCACGCAAAACCTGAGTTTCTCGTCTACCTCATAGGGTACGTACTGTTGATGGACTTTCATCTCGGTAGGGGCTTCAGCCTGTGGGTGACATTCCAAGTTGAAGACAGAAGGGAAAGGAGGGTGTTCCGGAGAATTCCCAACCTTATCTAGCAGTGATTCTCCACCCTGGCTGCACTTTAGAGTGCTTTAGGGGGAGATTTTGGGGAGAAAAAAATTGTTAGGGGTAGCCCAAGCCAAGTGGGAAGTATTACAGTGGGGCTGTTTTCGGTTCAGCCACCGGTTGAGAACAGCCAGTTTAGTTTAGGAGAGCGCACCTGAAGACTTCCAGGTGAGAAAGATCTAGGCGAGCCCCAGTTCTGTCCCTCGTCACGGGTGTAGGGGGACCCGTTTTCACCTGCGGCTCTTCGTCACGTCTAGAATGATGCAAACCATAACGGCTCATGCTGATGAGGATGCTGCAGGGAGCATGTTTTATGCCTATTGCATTGCAGTTGATCCTCCCAAGAGCCTTTATGAAGCGTCCCTCCCATTTCCCGGGCAAGGAAACCAAGATGCTGAGAGCTCAAGTAACTTGGCCCAGGTCCGAGGAAGTGGTGGGGCTGTGCGTCCAACGCTGTTTATTCGACTGCAAGCTCTGTTCCCTCAGCCACCGCACTACGGCTCGCCTCCCGGGGTTGTCAGATGAGTCACTAAAATGCCCGGTTCCTCACTATGGCCTGCAGAGACCATGTCAGGGGAGGAGGGCCATTTATTGGACATGCGTGGGTTGAAGCGTTGCATGCAAAGCATTGAGTGATTTGGTATCCAGCAGTGGGACAGGAGAGCGTTCTGGGCCTGCCTTCTGTCACCCTGGGGTCAGGTACGTGAGCCCTTCCCAGGGAGCCCTGCAGAGGTGGCCGCGTCCCAGAGGGTCTCTGTCTGCAGCATTTGGTTTGCTCTTGCAAACTGTCCTGTAGACCCGCGGCAGGGGAGTCCCCCATCAGGACGTTCCGGGCTTTGACCCCGTCCGCGTGTGCAGCTTGTCCGTCTGTCTGAAACACCCCTTCCATTTGTTTCCCCGGAACTCAGCACGGGAAGCATGATTACCTGCTTGCAGAAAGGCACGCCAGTGACTTGGCATCTCTGGAAGCTGGCATTTCCAAGTGCCTTTGGGTAGAAGGAAGCTTCTCGCAGGAGATAGGGGAGCGACAGCAAAGTGTCTTCCGATGGTTTCGTTTCTTTTCTGAGCGTGGGTTGTGGGTGTCGGCGTGGTGGGTGAGGACAGCTGCTGGGCGCCTGCTGGTGTCCATGGTTACACGTTATCAGAGAAGTGAGTCATTTAATCTGGGGAGTAGGGCTGGCCCTGGAACCCTAGAATGAGCCTGTGTGCAGGGCGAGGGGCGTTACCCTGGCCCGTCTCGCTGACTGTTTTTAGGACCGGCCACTCAGGTCACCCCAGGGGCTGCTGCTCACTGGCCTGGGCAGCTGGCCTGGGCACTGGCCTGGGCAGCTGGCTTCCTGGTTACCTGTGTCCACTGACACCAGGGGCTGGCACCCAGTGGGCAGGGGGCATCTCGGGCTGATGGACTGGTGTGGCTGGCCGTGGGCGGCGAGGGCTGGGCTCAGGTGCTCTTCAGGGACACTGGCCCTGGTGCCCCAATTTACCAACCCCCCCATGGCCACACCCGCCCCGCCCCAGCGCTCCACGCACACACCTGTTCTGCGCCCTCGCAGCGTTCACCACGCTCCGAAATGACTTTGTGCATTTGTTTGCTCATACTTTGTCACTTCCCCACCCCAGACCAGATGCTATGAGCACAGGGGCTGTGCTCCCAGGGCACCCAGCACGTGTGTCCCATGGGCCAATGAATGAATGAATGGAATGATGGGAGTTGAGGGGGAGTGCCCAGAACTCAGCTCTTGCTCTAGTGACAGCCTTAACCCTGGATGTGGCTTTTAGCCCGAGCTCCGTCCCCCTCCCTGCTGCAAACCACAGTCAAGGTGTTAATAGTCTGTTAACCCAGCTCCTTTCAACAATTGCTTCTTTGGCTTTTTAACATCGTGAACATATGCGCATCCCCTGAAACATGCTTTACACTGACATCTAAATATATCTGAGTATAAAAACTTGGGGGGGGGAGGGTCAAAAAGAAGTTAAAATATTAAATGTTTGTATCAGATGAAGGGAAACATACACGAACTTTTTGGAGACTTTTGTGTTAAATTCCTACCTGCTCTCCCCCAGTCCCTTGCTGTTGGGGGAGAGGAGGAGAAAGCAGAGCCCCAGCGAGCCTGGTGTGACAGGGGGACAGAGGTGCTCATCTTCCATGGGCTAAGAAGGATCTGCAGAGAAGAAGAAATCGAGGGGGAGGAGTGGGGGGCTGCAGCCTGGGCAGATGATTATAGCGTGAAGGCTCTTGAGATCACCTGGGAGTTTACAAAAGGAGCCGGGAACGATGAGGGAGAGTCAGACTCTGAGCTTAGTCAGAAGGTTTCCCTGCTCGGAGTCCCAGGAGCGCCAGCGTGGAGGGACGGCTGCGACCTCTGCCGAGGGTTCCACTGAATCTTGTGCAAGAAGCCAAAGGAATAGGGAAAATCGCTTCTGCTTTGCCAAATCAGAGATGATTTATTGGGGTTTGAGATTCAGCTTGAATTTTTGGCTTAAGATATTTACTCTGCTGTGTCCATATGGCTTTTTTTTTTCCTTCCAAAGCATCTCCTGCCAGAGATTTGTGCATAGGATTCCTTGATCCCCTATTTGATAAATCGGTCAGCCTCTGTCTCCACTTACTTGGCATGAGTCCACATAAGCATTGCATACATGGGCACAGCTGCGGGAGGAGTCAGTCGGTTGGTGCCTGCATATTAGGATGCTCGTGGAGCAGTGGCATGGTGGGGACATCACGCAAGAGCAGAGGAAAGCCAGTGGCTTGAGAAGGGCTTGCAGAGTAAATGGTTCCAGGCATAAGTGAGAAGAGTCTTCTCATGAGTCACCTGCAGCTGCCACAATGCAGAGTGGGTCTTAGGGCCCCACTGGTTTTCCGGAAGGCCAGCACTTTTCTCTTCTCACCCCTTGGGATTCAAGAAAGCCCACTGGCGCTTCTTTGCTCAACTTGGGTAACTAGGCCGGGCAGGGAAATGCCTCTTTGCTACGAACTCGTTTGTTCCCAGCCAAGGGGTTTTGTGGTTCCCAAATGTCTCCTGGCCTTCTGATGGCCTGTCCTCCTCCTGACTCTGCGTGGAGAAGGTCACTCATGGTCTCAAATGTGAAAGAAGAAACAGCCCCCTCTGTGCGATTTGCTTCCTCCTTGCCCCCAGCCCACAGGTGCAGGGGGCAGATCCTAGAATAATATGGTGGGTGTTTGGACACGTGGTCACATGGTCACAGGCTCAGCATGTTGGGGCGTCCCACTTGGGGGTGGTGTCCTCCTTCAAGCCGGTGCCTGTCAGTGGCCTGCTGGCTCTTCTTCCTTCCCCATCTGGCACTCACTCGCCTAGAAGGAGACAGAATCTGACGTCTAAATCTGACGTCTGCCTAGACCTGTGGCGTGGTGACAGTAGCTCTGCCTGCAGCCACGTGGCCGGTGCCAGGAAGCAATGCCACGTAACCGACCAGGCGGCCAGCGAGCACCAGGCAGTGTGGCTGGGCTGGGAGTGGGCAGGCAGCTGGTTTCCTGCCCCCAACGGGCCCCTGGCACACTTGTCCCCAGGATGCTGGAGTCACCTTAGCATCTCAAGGGCAAGACACCAGCCAAGAAAACGTTGCCCATTGAGTGTCCAGAACAGGGTTCTTTGGGCTCCTTTCTTAAAACCAGTGAAAACCTCTCTCCCTGTTGTTTTGTCTTATTGAAACACCTTTCCTACCACTAACGCACCCCCACTGGTGTTGGGGAGTCCCTTCCTCATTCTCCCCAAGAGTGCTTTCTGCTCTGGGGTTAGTAATGGGGTTCCTGGCTGGGTTTAGGGCCCTCAGGTATCGGGTCGGTATTTGGGGTTGGGACAGCCCCTGCCACTCATGACCTGAAAACAAGATGGAGATGCGTAACTTGGGTGGGGTGTGTGTGGGGGTGTCTCAGCCCCGCTGGACCCTGGGCTTTGAAGTGGGAATGAAATAGGAATTGCTGCAGAATTCCTGAGAGTTCATCGTGGGGCATAGATTTAGTTCGTCACGGCGCCTGCTTCCTCGCTCACACCCTTCTTTGTTCTCCCCCTAGCCTGTGGGCCGAAGCTGACCAACTCCCCCACCGTGATCGTCATGGTGGGCCTCCCAGCCCGGGGTAAGACGTACATCTCGAAGAAGCTGACTCGCTACCTCAACTGGATTGGCGTCCCCACGAAAGGTGAGGCCAGTGCCACGGCCAGGCTGGTCACCTGGAGCGGTGGTCTTGCTCGCCAACCCCTGCAACCGGTTAAATGGCTGCTGGGACCTGCCTTTTAACAGCCCCCACTGGGGCTGGCCTGCCCCCTGTGGTTGTGGGGGGTCCCTCTGGCCGTGTCACTCACCACCCTATGGACATACCCTTCCTTTGTGCCGGGATGTTTTCCCACCTGCTGCTCATTTCCTACTGCCCCGCACCTCCTTCAAGACGCCTTCTCTGGCCACATGGTCTGGGGGGATCCGTGTCCCTTAAGTCCCACCAGCACGTAGTTGTGTGCTGTGGCCTCTTTGCACGGTCTTGTGCAGCTGGACTGCAGGCGGGGCGGTGGAAGACGGGCTCTGGAAGAGCAGGCCACCGTGAGTGGCACTGGGCTGGGGAAGTGGGGCTGCCTCTGGCCTCCCAGCCCCGTGGGGGGAGGTCCACTCCCTGGTCTCCGCGTCTTAGCAGAACCTTACTCGGGTTGGCGTCGGTGCATTGGCGTGGCTTCCTTTGGTAGAGAGGGGGTCAGTAAGGGTCCTTGCCTTTGCCCCCGCAGTGTTCAACGTTGGGGAGTACCGCCGGGAGGCCGTGAAGCAGTACAGCTCCTACAGCTTCTTCCGCCCCGACAATGAGGAAGCCATGAAAGTCCGCAAGTAAGGCCCGAGCTGCTGCGGAAGCCTGGACGTGGGTTTGCTCTGCTTCCTGAAGCCGGGTTCTCTAGGAGAAAGAGGAAGCTGCCTGCGGTGTGGCTCCCCAGACGGGCCTCCGAGTGTGCTAGGGCGCGTGTCGGCCTCGCTGGGGCTCGCTGCTTCATCTGCAACCCATGGCCCAGTTCAGCTGAGGGTTGATACAGATCAGCAGTGATGCCTCGTCGAGGATGAACAAAATGTGTGTGTGTGTGTGTGTGTGTGTATGTGTGTGTAAAATCATCTGTTTACATTTGATGAGCATTTTTCTTTTAAGCCCGGGGTGGTCGTGAAACCCAGGTCCCGTGGCGCTCAACCTCTGACAGCATTCTAGACGCACCCGGGAGCTTGGGAAGCTCCTGATGCCAGCCCTCCCCTAGATAGTGCAGTGAGAATCTAGGGGCAGGACCTGGGCGGCCGATGTATAAAAGCTCCCGGAGAGATTTCCGTGTGCAGCCAGGCGTGAGCACCATCTCCCGAGGGTGACCGTGGCCACCTGTGCAAGCCTCCCCTAGAGCCTCTGGGTGTGTGGGGGCTGGGCCTGGCCGCCCTGGCCAGCCTGGTGGTTTAGGGGTGGAATTGCCGGTCAGTCTGTTCGTTAGGATGAATGGGGGGTTGCGTGGGCTTCCCCCATGGGCTGCGCTGCTCTGATGCCTGCATTCTCTTTCTGTGTGTTCCAGGCAGTGTGCTCTAGCTGCCTTGAGAGACGTCAAAAGTTACCTGACGAAGGAAGGGGGCCAAATTGCAGTAAGTCTGGGAATTGCCAGCCCTGTCTCCAGTGCCGTAGTGGGGTGGTGCCCTGGAGGGAGCAAAATGTAGAACAGTGGCCAGAGCAGTGCCAAGAGACATTGCAGGGACACCTCTACTGGGACAAGTGCATCTGGCCTGAGAGTTGAGGGAAGCAAGTGGCTAGTGCAGCACAGGGACCCAGGAAGGGGGTTAACTGGGTGCAGACCCAGGGCACAGCTGGTTGGTATGCTCTGATCACCCCTCATCTGTATGCCGTTGGACACCACCCTCCAAGGCAGGCTGGGCCTGGGGTAGCTGCACCATGGTAGCCAGGGTCCCTTCCCTTGCACCCTCTCCTGTGCGTTGCTATTGTTCATTTGGTTTAAAGTACCGTCCCCCAGCTCCCTATCTGTCCCAGAGTGCTGGAGGCAGCAGGAGGCCCGGGGGCAGGGCACCATCTCTCCTGGAACCTCATTTGGCTTACACCTGGAGGTGACAGGCCTGACCTACTTGTGGTTTGGTAAATACTATATATCTCAAACTTGGGCTCTCCTCACTGCCATCTTTCTTGCTATTGCTATCAGGTTTTCGATGCCACCAATACTACCAGAGAGAGGAGACACATGATCCTTCATTTTGCCAAAGAAAATGATTTCAAGGTGAGCCAAACTTCTTGTCTTGCTCTGGAGCATGGAGGAGTGAGGAAAACAAACCCCTCGGGAACTGGCTGATTGCCGTGTCTGGGGCACCGCTGCTCCTTGCCTGCATCTTTACCTCCTGCTGCCCCTGCTTTGCTGCCTTACAGATTGAGTCTCCCTGGTGGGGACTCTCAGGGGTTACCATGACTAGGAGGTAGGATTGAGCAAGTGGTTGGTTTTATGTGTTTGGGTATTTTTAAAGAGGTCCTGTCTCCTCCAGTGTGGTGATGACATCACAGTGACACCCAAGTCAGCCCTTTGTGTTAACCACATTTGTTGTGTCCTAACGTTTTTGCCTTACTTTTACTTCCAGGTGTTTTTCATTGAGTCTGTGTGCGATGACCCTATGGTTGTGGCCTCGAACATCATGGTAAGACCACGCAGAACCCCACTCTAGGGTGGCAGTGAGAGAAAAGTGGGGAAACCAGGTCAGGCCCAGAGCAATAACTGGGTGCTGAGAGCGAGCTGGCTGACCTACTTGTTGGTTTTGTCGGAGAAATGGGAATCCAGGGTGGAGGGAGGTGCAGAGCAGTATTTAATTTAGAAGCATGTTCTGTGACCTGGGCTGGCTTTTTATCTGGGGTCCTTGAGACCGTTGGCAGAAACCAATCTTTGCAGGATGTGAGAGATAAAGCAGGAGACTGGAAACAGTTTCTGTCGGTAGCTTGGCAGCCGGCTGGGGACGGGGCTGCTTGGGACAAAGGGCAGCTCACCCCCTCCAGATGGGAAAAGAGGCAGTGGGGTGGACTCTTTAGCTGTTAAGGTCTTAGTAAGAATGATCGTGTATCAATAAAACGCCATAGGACGCAGCCAACTCAACCAGAACCCCCATGTGTGGGAAGACTGGAGGTAGGAAAACGATCTTCCTGCTTTTGCATCTGTAATGTAACCTTCATCTCTCCCGGTGCCAAGGGGGAGTTTGCCCAGATAAATTGAGGGTAACTGGCAGCTTAATTTGAATGATTCTTAAATTTTGCCACTTGAGAGTGATATATTGTAAGTGGAAACCATTACCATGAAGACCTTACCACAGGTCACCTTCCCAAGTAGATAATTTTCTGTGTAAATACATGAGAGTAAGACATGTCTCTAATGACAAGCGGGTCTGAGGCTTGTACAGGGAGCGCTCCGGTTTGCTGTATACACACGTGCATCTTTATTTTTTTTTTAAAGATTTTATTTATTGACGAGAGACACAGAGAGAGGGGCAGAGACACAGGCAGAGGGAGAAGCAGGCTCCATGCAGGGAGCCCGATGTGGGACTCAGTCCCGGGTCTCCAGGATCACACCCTGGGCCGAAGGCAGGGGCTAAACTGCTGAGCCACCCAGGGATCCCCCACGCGTGCATCCTTAGGGAGTTGCTGAAGATCCATTGGCTTGGAAGGCAGCGGGAATATTCACGAGCGTTTCTAAGAAATGAGTTTGTATGTCAGGAAGGGCTATTCAACTAGTGGAAAATCAGGCCCGGTTAGTTTTCAGCACGTCCAAAGGAAGAGGCTCAAAGTACGGGGACGTAGCACAGATGTGGCGGTCATCAGAACAGAGGGTTTTGCTGTGTCTCTTGGGTTTGGTCCTCGTTCCCCTTGGTGGCGAAGCAGGGTGCAGCTGCACAGTTGGTGTTCCACAGCGAGCGGGCCCCACGTGCTTGGCTGGGAGCTCCCCACTTATCTCGTGCTCTGTTAACACATCTGGTCGTTTGCCCTGACCCCTCTGTGTTCAGAAATCCAGGGCTCTGCTTAAGCCCTGGAGCAGCTTTGGAGCTTAGGCCTTCCCGCTGCGCTCTTTGTGGTGGCCGTGCCAGGGAGAGAGGGATTTGGCCACTTAGATCGCTTTTCATCGCGGCCCGATAAATACACACGAGACCAGATTTGCCATCTGACCCGTGCGAGCGTTCTGCACCGTGGCATTCAGCGCGCTCCCATCTCCGCGCAGTGGTCACCTCCCCAGATGGCAGAAGGTCCGTGTCTTCCCAGGCGGAGGCCCTGTGTCGTGGACCCCTAACTCCCCGCGGACTTGGGGTTTTGGAGAGTGTCCGCCTGTCTCACAGCTTGTTGTTGGAGAGAGCACACGCAGGAACAAATCCTGAGTGTCCCTAAAACCTGCCCTATTTCTCAGACGTGTCGCTCACTTACAGGAGACGGCGGGTCTGGGGGTCCTTCCTCCTTGACCTCTTTTGCGTGAGAGCAAACCTGAGGAAGGCCCGAGGCGTGTGGTCCAGGGGGAGAAGCTCTGACTGGGGCTGGGTTGCAAGCATGCGCTGCCCGTCTAGGGCAGGTGGGAGGAAGAGTCCCGCCTGGCGCGCAGGGCAGGGCACCACTGGCACCCCCGAGTGTGCCTTTGCGAGCGGGCCACCTACTGTCCGCGCGCGGAACATCATGGGTGCCTATCCAGAGCTGGGATGAGGGTTGGCGGTCCGGTGGCATCCTGGCCACTGGGTTGATCCCCAAACGTGGCCCATTCAGATGTGTTCGTTAGAATCCTGTGGGTTTCCTGTTTCCATCCCTCCAGGCAGGGATCCTCTGTGTCCCTTGGGTGCTTTCCCCATGTAATCATCAGACTATGACTCAATCCCCGGTGGTTTTTTTTTTTTTTCCCCTTTTTTTCCTCTTAAATGCCGGGTAGGATCATCATTATTCTGAGCTGGTCTGTGCTTTCCCTGTTTGCAAGCCCCAAATCCCGCTTCGTCTAAGCAGAAAGCCTTGCACAGCGTGATTCATCAGCTGCCTTTTTGTGGTGTTGCAGGAAGTCAAAATCTCCAGCCCGGATTACAAAGATTGCAATTCAGCAGAAGCTATGGACGACTTCATGAAGAGAATCAGTTGCTATGAAGCCAGCTACCAGCCCCTCGACCCCGACAAATGTGACAGGTAATTCATTCCTAAGAGGGGACCATTGCCCAATCCCCTGCATTAGTGTTTTCTTGCTGTCCCTGTGAAAGCACTTGCTCCTGAATACTCTCAAAAACTACCTTTTAAACTGTCTTTTAAAGAAGTCCTTGATCGAATGTGTTCAGTGTAAATGTCTCAGGTGCTGAGTTGAGGTGTGGAAAGTACGTGCTGAGCGCTGTCTTGCTCCTGTTGCTTCCTTTCTGTTTTTTTTTTTTTTTTAAATTTTTTAAAGATTTTATTTATTGGGGATCTCTGGATGACTCAGTGTTTTAGCGCCTGCCTTCGGCCCAGGCCGTGATCCTGGGATTGAGTCCCACGTTGGGCTCCCCGCAGGGAGCCTGCTTCTCCCTCTACCTGTGTCTCTGCCTCTTGTCTCTCTCTCTCTGTCTCTCATGAATAAATAAATAAAATCTTAAAAAAAAAAAGATTTTATTTATTCATGAGAGAGCCAGAGGCAGAGACACAGGCAGAGGGAGAAGCAGCTCCCTGCGGGGAGCCCGATGTGTGGGACTCGATCCCGGGACCCTGGGATCACGGCCTGGGCCAAAGGTAGATGCCACCCAGGTGTCCCTGTGTCTTTTCTGTCCTGTTCTGTCCCCTTGCTTTGCTCTTCTCCCCGTCTGGGAGGCAGCGGCCTTTCCAGCACGCCCTGCACCCTTCTTCTCAGTGTCTGAGCAAACACACACAGTCTGTGCCCTCACAAGGCTCTCGGCTAGACGTCCGACGTGGTGGTTCTAGTGGGGCTGAGTGTGTGCGCTCGGCCTGGGGGCCCCCGGGGGGTGTGGGCCCGGGGGCTGCCGCTCAGCTGGCCGCCCTCTCGTGCAGGGACCTCTCCTTGATCAAGGTGATCGACGTGGGCCGGCGGTTCCTAGTGAACAGAGTTCAGGACCACATTCAGAGCCGCATCGTGTACTACCTGATGAACATCCACGTGCAGCCCCGGACCATCTACCTGTGTCGGCACGGGGAAAGCGAGCACAACCTCCAGGGGAAGATCGGAGGGGACTCGGGTCTGTCCAGCAGAGGCAGGAAGGTAGGGGGGAGCGCAGGGAGTCCCTGCATGTGTGTGGGGTTGGAGGGGGGGTCTCCACGGCTTTGGGGGAGCATGTCCCTGCAGGGGCTGCTCCTCACTCTTCTGACGATGGCAGAGTAACGTCCCTGATGTGGCGTGGGACAGGCCTGCACCGCTTCTCCGGGGGGCGCAGGGTGGGCGCAGGAGCCTGAGCCCAGCCTGCGTGTCCCTTTTGTCCCGTGCCCTCCCAGTTTGCGAACGCCCTGAGCAAATTCGTGGAGGAGCAGAACCTGAAGGACCTCAAGGTGTGGACCAGCCAGCTGAAAAGCACCATCCAGACGGCAGAGGCCCTTCGTCTCCCCTACGAACAGTGGAAGGCACTCAACGAGATTGATGCTGTGAGTGCGGCGCGGGGTGGTTGGGGGTGGGGAGGCCCCCCCCCCCCCCGCCGGCCTTGGCTGTGGGAGGTGGGAGGCTGGAGCCAGAGGGCTCGGAGGCTTCTCCCCTCCCCATCTGCCCGAAGTGAGAGCCCCTGCCGTGTGGGCTGGCTGGCGGTGATGCCCGTGTTCCCACCAGGGCGTCTGCGAGGAGATGACCTACGAGGAGATCAGGGCCACCTACCCCGAGGAGTACGCGCTGCGGGAGCAGGACAAGTACTACTACCGCTACCCCACTGGGGAGGTACGTGCGCAGGTGTGGCCGCGTGTGTCCAGGCCGGGCATGAACCCGGGGAGGCGGGGTGGGCAGGAGGGACTCTTGCATCCCGCCTCCCCCAGCGCCTTTGGACGCTTGTTCCGGGCACACTCACCCCCGACTCGAGGCTTCCCGGACTGAACCTTGTAAAGGGCCCCAGAGAAGCACAGTTGTATTTTCCCGTGAGCAACAGCGGGAGGCGTGTTCCTCTGAGGAGTCCGTACTGAAGTCATGGGCGGTCATTCCCTCGGCTGCAGACCAGACGGCAGATGTGACATTGGTCCGCAGGCCGTGGGCACGAATCGAACTGAGGGCACGCGTAGCCCCATCTGGCCAAGTGAGCGCTGGAGTGTGGGTGGCACTCTGGGGGGTCCATGCAGGCCACCAGGTGACATCTGCTGGCTCCTCGCCACTGTCTGCAGGCTGTCTCCATCTCTGTCTCACTCGCGCTCAGGGCGCTGACCTCCTCTGAGGCTCTGGCCCTCGTTCCTGGAGCCTGATTAGTAAGAGAAAGAGGGAGGACCCCAGAGGGAGTGGCGTGCGTGGGAGCCTTGGTGGTCTTAAGAGCCACGGGCCTGCCCCTTTCTTTCTCAATTTCTTTATTTTATTAAGAGGAAATGCACATAATATGAAACTTGCCATCTTGAAGTATATGGTTCGGCAGTGTTTAGTATACTCGGGATACTGTGTAACCATCGCTGCTAATTCTAGAACATTCTATCATTCCAAAAGAAACCCCAGCCTGTGACTGCCTAGCCCCGGGTCCTGGTGACCACGGACTGTTTGTGTCTCCGTGGAGTGGCCGATTCTGGACGTTTCATGGGCATGGGGTCGTACAGCATGTGGTCTTCTGTGTCTGGCCTCTTTCACTGAGTTAACACGTTCAAGGTCCACGTTGTAAGCCTGTGTCGGGTCGTCGTCCCCTCCCTCCCCCGTGCGGAGGATCAGGATGCGGTAGTGGGAGAGAGGATGCTCTGTGCTCCTCTTGGAGGATTGCTTCTCCACGTCCTCACCAGCATGGGGCCAGTCCCTCTTGCCTAGGAAGCTGGTTGAGGAGGGTCCCCCAGTGCCCATGAGGGCTGCACCCCTGAAATGCCACTGGCTGTTGATGAATGATCCCACATCCTCTTGTTTTTCTTTTTTTTGAAATGCCACTGGCTGTTGATGAATGATCCCACATCCTCTTGTTTTTCTTTTTTTTTTTTTTAAGATTTTATTCATGAGCGAGACAGAGAAAGAGGCAGAGACACAGGCAGAGGGAGAAGGAGGCTCCCTGTGGGGAGCCCGATGTGAGACTCGATCCCAGGACCCTGGGGTCATGACCTGAGCCCAAGGCAGGTGCTCGACCACTGAGCCACCCAGGCACCCCTGTGCCCTGGTTTCTAACCACAGGAGCGGTGTGCTGGGCTAGCAGAGCCCCTACCCTGCCTGCCTGTGCCTCTGCCCAAACCCAGCATCCCCGTCCCTGTCTTGCAGTCCTACCAGGACCTTGTCCAGCGCCTGGAGCCGGTGATCATGGAGCTGGAGCGCCAGGAGAATGTGCTGGTCATCTGCCATCAGGCTGTCCTGCGTTGCCTCTTGGCCTACTTCCTGGACAAGAGTGCAGGTGCTGCTGGCTACTGAAGCTTCCTCTTGGTGGTTGGGTAGGGGATTAGGAGCCAGTTGGGCTCCCCAAAACGGAGGAGGGAACTGGTCTTTGAATTTGGGGTTGCTGCAGACCAGGCCTTGCCCACCAGAGCACGCAGGCCAGGCCGGCAGCTTGCAGAGAGGCCTTCCCGGCCCAGGGCTTCCTGGCCGCCCTCGGGACGGTCTGCAGAGCACCCTGTGATGCTCAGGCTGATGTTCAGTGGACCTGCCGGCTTCGTGCAATGGCCCCGAGAGTCCTCAGCTGTTCACATCTCGGGCTCAGGGGCCCTGGGTCGGGGGGCCTGGGGGCTGCTCTTCCCTTCAGCCCACCTCTAAAGAATAAAGCACTCAGAAAACTCTCACGAGACTTGAAATTTAAACCTGTGTCTACCCAGGGCTCATACCTAAACTGTTTGGGGAATTGAGGAATGACCCCCCCCAACTTTTTTTCTCTTTTTTTTGTAAATTCTAATGTGTGAGGGTGTTTTTGGGGTTGGTTTTAATTCTGTTCGTTTGGCTGGGTGTTGCTTCTAGGGCCACCTGCCTTGAGCAGGAGAGGCCTGTGTGTGGGGTTGGGGGAGGCAGAGATGCTCCTGCTCAGCCTGGACCCCGAGGGTGCCGCCACCACCACCACCACCACCACCACGGAAGGAGCTGTCCCTGGGGACCTGCAGGTGTTCATCCTCGAGGCTCCTGTCTCACCGTGAGGCCCTTTCTCTTCTTTTCAGAGGAGATGCCTTATCTGAAATGCCCCCTTCACACGGTCCTCAAGCTGACCCCTGTCGCTTACGGTGAGTACCTCGGCTCAGCCCCTCACACCCTGCACCCTCCCCACCCCCCGGGACAGTGGCTCCTGGCGTCTCTGGGGCTGGAAGCGGCCTGTCCCCTGGAGCCCGAAGCCAACCTCTGTCCCCACCCTCCCCCAGGCTGCCGCGTAGAGTCCATCTACCTGAATGTGGAGTCCGTGAGCACGCACCGGGAGAGGTCAGAGGTGAGTGCGAGCCCGGTGCCCCCGGCCCTCCAGCATCCCCACCTTGTCCTCCGTTCCCAGAGGGACTCTGTGGAGTGACAGGGCCGGTGGCTGCGAGCCCTTGGGAGGTCCCCACGTTGCGTTGCCTGTAACCGCGTGCCCGTGTCTTCCAGCGGGTTCTCGCTGGAGAAGTGTGTGTGGAGTTGGCCGGTCTCGACCCTCCCCTGCCCACCTGCCTTTCCGTCCGTGCATTCCTGCCGTGTCTTTCTTTGTGGCTTCCTTGCATCTTCTTTTTTTTATTTTCCCTATTTTCCTCCCCCATTTCGACTCAAGTGGGTATCAGAGCAGAAGACGCATTCCGCTCCCGCAAGCTTGACTGTAGCACAGCTGCTGTCTGTTCCTCTGGGGCAGCTAAGTCTCCTTTCTTCAGGTTCCAGAGTTACTGGTGCAAACGGGATGGGTGGAGGCGCAGAATTAGCAGGAAGACGAAAACCTTGGAAAGGAGCCGGGGCTGGCCAGATGCTGTGGTTCGGGAAGTAGGGACTCGAGGGAGGCTGGATGTGGAAGGCTCCGTCAGGAGACCCTAGGCCTGGTCATATCCGATTTCCCCTGGGGAGGCCTTGCACTTGGGGGGCAGCCTGGCCGGAGCCCCCAGAGGCTGAGCAGCGTGCTGCCCGGGCGTAGTTGGGAGGGAACGGCGGGCTTGCTGTATACCAGCTGTCAGACCGCAGTGCGTCGCCCGCTGACCCTTGCTCTCACACCACGGCGACCGTCCCGTCTGAGCAGGACACCTGCCTCCCCATTCCCAAGCTTGGCCACAAGATTCTGGTTTGAAGATCCCAGCTTCCACCAGCGGTTGGCTGGCTGATTGGCCGTAGGGAAAGGAGGACGGCCAGCCTCGGCCCTGTGTCGGCCCCGCTCCCGGCCGTGGGTGGGGCTGAGGGCCAGACGCCCTGCCTGACTCTGTCCGCGGGTCCGGGCCTCCGCTGGGCTCCGATGGCCCCTGGACACTGTGCAGAGCTGGGGCAGCGTCTCAAGGGAGACAGTCAGGCCTCCACGCAGGCCGCGGGGCTGCAGGCTGTAGGGACACAGGCCTGGGGACGGGCCCGGATTCCCCGGGTTCCAGTTGCGTTGTCACTTGCTGGGAAGGCTCTCGTTCGGCCCTGGCTTGCCGTTCTGCAAACCTCAGGTTTTCTGCCTCTTTGGTCTCCTTGGCAGGGGTTGAAGCTCCCGTTTCTGGCCCTAAGCCGGGGTGTCAGGTGTCGTGATGGGGAGCAGGAGCCACTGTGCACTTGCCGGCTCGGCTCGCGAAGGGCGAGGAGAGCCCAGCACCGCCCCCACCCCCTCCCGCTGTCCCCTCTGCTCAGGTCCCCCTTCCCAGTTCTCGACGCTCTTGGAGGCTGGCAGCCAGGTCCCTTCCTCCGACCTCGACCTTGTTAGCTGCCGTCATGGGACAGCTGTCTGCACAGCTGGTCCTGCTGCTTGGCCCTCCCCTGCTTTGCGAGCGTCGCGTTTGTCCGAGTGGGTGTCTTGGAATGTTCCCGAAAAGGGGTTCAGCACATCATCCCTCGTTCGTGCCGACCGGGGAATCAGGACCAAATGGCAGCCTCGAGGTCCTGGGGCCAGTCACCGCGCTCAGTCTTGAGTCTGTAAAATCCAGAAGCAGAGAAACGTGTTTTGTTTGGTGTTGAGGTTTTTTTTTTTTTTTTTTTTTTGGTGTTTTTGTTTTTGGCTTATTTACCGCCCCACTCCTCGTAACTGTCGCCTTCTCTCTTTTGTCTTTGTCTCGCTTAGGATGCAAAGAAGGCACCTAACCCGCTCATGAGACGCAATAGTGTCACCCCACTAGCCAGCCCCGAGCCCACCAAAAAGCCTCGCATCAACAGCTTTGAGGAGCATGTGGCTTCCACCTCCGCTGCCCTGCCCAACTGCCTGCCCCCGGAGGTGCCCACGCAGCTGCCCGGACAAGTGCGTTGACCCCTTTCCTCTCTCACAGTCACTGTGGGTCGGGAGGAGAGCGCCCGGGGGTCCGCAGGGGCCGCAAACCCAGGCCTGCGTGTGTGGGCGGTGGCGGGGGGCGGAGGGGGGGAGCGTGGGGGTGTGTCCCCGAGGTCGTGCACCCTGGGGTCCTTCCTTGCCAGCCGGTCTGAGGAGCCGGTCTCCACGGGGCAGAACTGGGCAGAGCAGAAGAAATTCCCGAGCGTCTGCGCCCCACTCTCATTCCCGAATGCTCTGTTGTCACACGAAATCGAAGAACAAGCCCTAGTCGACAAACCTCCCTTCATTCAGCTGGGTCACCGGCCACACGTGGCCTGAGGACGCCTATTCTGTCCCAGGCCGATGGCCGAGTATCTGCCTCACATGCCCCCGTGCACATTCCCTGTCGTAGGGAAAAGCGTGTTCTCCTCCAGAGCCGGGGTAGAGCCGCCTTCTCACGTGACACGGGTGCCACCTCACGCCACGTAGTAAAGACCCCAAAAGGCAAAAACCCCAGCTAGCTTTCCCTTGTGCCGTTTGCTGTGAAGATGAAAAGCTGCAAGATGCTGGCTGTTGGGCGCTAGGATTTATTTTCAGAAGAGCAGCAGTCGTCTTTCTCAGTGGCCACTAGGAATCTTTGCCACTACGTGAGACCTGGGAGTTTCCCGGGCACAGATTTGGGGGCCACCTCCAGATCTCCCCTCACCTCCACCCACCGTGTCCGGGCCCTTTGCAGATAATGTCAGAGGCTGAATCTCAGATTGGTTGTAGGAGCTCAGTGCTGGGGCCCGCAAACCCGCGTTTGGAGGCGTGTTTAAATCCGTTGCTGTCTGGACTTGGGTCGTGGGGGACAGTGCCGGGCAGCCTCAGACAGGCCACCGAACCTCTTCAGGCCTCAGTTTTCCCATCTGTGGGTTGGGGGCAGGGAGAGATGGTACCTCCTGCAAAAGGCAGGTCACGTGGGGCGGTTTGTGCTGAGCCCCTGACACATCGATGTCCGCCACGGGCGCCAGCTGTGGGATCTTATCGTGTCTTTGCGTGAAAACCGAGGACTGAAGTGGTTTGTGGGTGACATTTGGCGTTTGCTGTGCGGGCACAGTTGGAAGTTGAGAGGCTGCTGTCGCAGACACTCCGAGGCCGGACTGGCCTGGGCCGGGGCTGCGTCTGCAAGGTCACGGAGGACGCGCGGCTGGGGCTCCCCCGACTCTGACAGGACAGCCCTTGGGGGTGGTCCACCCGAATCCTCAGGAAGTCTGGAAGCCATTGGGTGGTGCTGGGCGGGGAGGGTCCATGGGGCCTCATCCCAGCAGAGGATGTCCTGGTTTCAAGTGACGCGGGGCCTGTACCCTGTCCCTCTACTCACTTCTCTCTCTCCACTTTTTCTCTCTGCAGCCTTTGCTAGGGAAAGCCTGTTTGTAAGTATTTTTCTCTGAATAATTTTGCTACTCGCACCTGTTTCTCCTTGCTTGCCAGTGTGGCCTCCTGCCTGATAAAATGTGGGGGATGAGGACAGTTTCTGTCAAATCTGACAGAGGGAGATGACCATGCGGGAGGGGGAAGGGGACTCATGAATATTTAGAAAAGGAGCCAAGAAGCTATGTGGCCCAGCTGCCCTCAGTGCGTCCTGCTGCCGCCACTGGCCACAGCTGGCTCCTTCCTTGCCCACACCTTGGGGTCCTGGTGACTGTTAGGACTTGCTGTAGGGCATGGCTAGACCTGAGTCTGCTTTTTCCCTCGGAGTCAGAATTTGGTGCCAGTCGACGCCTTATGCCCGATGCATCGGATGCATCGTCTTTGAGGGTCTCTGCCTCCGCAGGGAGAGGCTTTTCATGTTGAAAGGAAAAGTAACCCAGGGCCTAGTTTGCAAGACAGGAGGACAGGCTCTGGGGGGTGGGGGTGGGGGGGTGGGTGTTGGGGCTGCAGCCCTGCAGCCTCTCCCTTCTGTCCCAGTGGAGACCCGCTCCCCTCGGGGCTCTGGGACCCTGGCACTCTGGGGAGGTCTCTTTGGGGACCGTGGCTGTGGATCTGGTTGTCCTGTACCAGCACCTGCTTAGCCGTGATGGTCACGTTCAGGATTGGGTGCAGCATTCGAATCAGACCTGTTGGTTTCCCATGTCCTTTGCTGGCGTTCTGCAGGGCGTCTCTGGCTAACCGTCAGCTGGAGCAGCTGCTAGATAATTCAGTGTCTCTAGGGCTCCTGTGGCCCCCACCAAGGAAGGAGCCCTGAGGCCTTCCATCCTGGAGTTCCATTAACAGCCACCATGATACCCACCTGCCCCGGCCCCTCAGGGCATTACCTGCCTATCCTCCCTTTTGCCAATCGGGTGACTCAGTGAGCTCAGCCTGGGGGCTTAAAAGTGTGGCTTGTTCTTGGAAAACGGTTGTTTCATCGTGCTTGGATCAGGGGCCCCCACCAGCAGCGGAATCTATTTTGCGATGCGGCTTGTTTGCATATAGCCCGTGTCTTTGGGCCTTAAAATACCCTAGGAGGTCCATGGGGGGCAGTTCTGGTCCTTTTTACCAGATGACCCAGAGTCAGGCATTTGCCTGTGGCCGTCCAGCTAGTCAGTAGCACACCTGGGTCTCCTTCTCCTGAAGGCCGACCACTTTCCCTCTGCTGGCATAGTCTGGGCACAGTCCGGGTGCTCTCACCTACCCCTGGCCCCGGGCACCTGATGTCTGCGGCCCGTGGGGCACTGGCCAGAGCCGTTGGGTGCTCCTTTCAGCTCTTGCAGCTTCTCCCTTGCAGCTGTCCTCTGCGCCTAGGCTGTGTTTGCTTACCGGGGGCCTGTCCGTTAAATTCAGTCTTTAAAGATGGACTGTCCTATGTCTGGTTCCTCCTGGAACCCAGGCGTTGCACACCGAGTGCTTCTAGAGCAGGAGATTCCCCTGCCGTGAAAATCAGCCTTTGGATTTGGAGCCTTCTACTTTTGCATCTGTGCATATCCTCTTCTTTTTGAGTCTCATGGCCTGGTGTTGCCAGGAAAGAGATCTTCCTGCTGGGAGGAGGGTCCCCCTTGGGCATCTCGCCCACCTTCTTTTTTTTTTTTTTTAAGATTTTATTTATTGATTCATGAGAGACACACAGAAAGAGGCAGAGACACAGGTGGAGGGAGAAGCAGGCTCCCTGCAGGGGTCCTGATGTGGGACTCGATCCTGCCAGGATCAGGCCCTGAGCTGAAGGTAGATGCCCAACGGCTGAGCCACCCAGGTGTCCCACCCCCGACCTTCTAAGGTTGAACTTGCCCCTTCTCCATGGCTTCTAATGCCTTTGGCTAGAATCCCTCCAGGTCAGCAAAAAATGTACCCTCTGGACCCATCACACCCTGCATTCCACTCCGGGGTCCCGGCGTCCAGCCCAGCCTGGGAGGGTGAGCCTGTGTCTGAGACCGCAGACCCCTGGTTTTACGCCTCCATTCAAACCGAGCCGGGTTTGGATCTTGGTTTTCCTACCCGACCGTCCGTCTTTGGAATTCTGGGCGAGGTCCTGCCATTCCAAGCTCTTCTGTTTTCTCATCTGCAAGATGGAGACAGTAACGTAACGAGGTGTTTTGGTGGTGACGCTGCAGGTGCAGCGCTTAGGATACCCGGCACAGAGAGTGCGGGGCGGGCAGGAGCCGTTAGTGTAGGAGAGTCTGCGCCCCCTGCTTTGCTGCAGTGCCCGGGGCGCTGGGGTTTGGCTCCTGCTGCACTTTGACCCCCCCCCTCCCAGTTCCTCTGCACGGGCCCGGCGGGGTGTCTTCTCAGGAGCAGCAAGAGCGCCAGGACTGGGGGCCGGGGGGACCCCTGGGGCTCTCTGGGGTGTGGCCTGAGCACACCCGGGCTGGGCGCAGCGCCCTGCAGCCCTCCCCTGGGGTGGCGCCCGTGCTCCGGGGCCGGCTGGCCGTCGGGCGGCCTCGATTTTGAAGTTTCAAACGCACACGAGAAAGAAGCTCCTACTAAAGCTGTTTTCTGTTCTTTTCTGACATGCTCTTCCCTTCCCCCCCACTATGCTTGAAAGACGAACTGTTTGTCACATTTTCTCAAAGTTTTCTCCCTACTAACCTTGGAAAGGTAAATGGCTCGGTGCATGCCCCTCCCCGTCCCCCCCACATCTCCCCGAGTCATGGCATCTCAGCCTGCCAGGGCATCTCGGTCTGTGTGAAGACTGGCCATTGTCAAGTCTGTGACTCATACACCCCGTGCCGGAGAACACTTGTCTTCCAAGAGCCGCACCATTGTCTGGAGGTCCTCTCTCTCTCGTTTCCTCGTTTCCCTCCACATGGCCTGAGCCAGGGCACCATGAGTGAGTGATGTGACGTGGCCTGTGCCTGCAGTCCCCAGTGTCATTGTTGCATCTGTCATCATCCGCGGGCGCTCCAAGCCCTGGGCGTGAGAGGTGTGCGGGCGGGCTCGGGCCGGCAGGTGCGGCGGGAGCCCCCACGAGTGGCGGGGTGCAGGCTGCCAGGTGCCCCCCGGGGAGGCCCCCCCGGCCACAGACGCCGCGCGGTGTCCTCGTGGCGGGGGGCGGCCCGGGCTGGGTGGGGCTGAGCACGGGCTTGCGTAGCCCGGTGCTTCCCACGAGGCTCTTCTCTGCAGATGTCCCCGGTCCTGCACGGCAGGGGAGCCGGCCGGCGCCATCCCTGGACCCCTGCGTGTCTGTGTCCCGGCTTCCGCCCTCCCCTTAACCCTGCCCCCTTCGCACCGACTTGCTGGAGACACTCGGGATGGGAAAGAGCACCTTCCCAGATTGGGTTTCCTTTCTTTGTGGGGTGGATTGAGGTTGGACAGAGAGCCCGCCGCTGGGCAGTGGCAGCTGCCATCTGTCCCCAGCTGATGGGAACACTTTTTTTTTTTTAAGGGGGTTTTGAGACTGGTCGGCTTCACAGGGGGTAGGACTTCCAGCTACGGTTGCTTTTTGTTAGAACAGGAAGAGCTTTAGTAACACTTGCCCGTCCCTGCCTGGCTTCCTCGCCGGGGTTGTCCCCGTCACCACCCGCCAGCCCGTGGCACCCATGTCCTAGCTGCCCAGCCCATGTTCTGGAACCAAGATTCCAGGGGCCGGAGTGTGTGGTCTACTTGAGCCACGTTGGGAGGAGAGTCCTTACACTTCTGTGGAGGAAGGCGCCATCCCCCACCCCTCCCCATATCTCTGCAGGCGGCAGGAGCCCCCCAGGTGCAGGCGGGGGCAGTCCCAGGGCTCCAAACAGTCCCCAGAGCCCCGACCCACGATAGCTGCCTGCTGCCCCCTGCCTCCTAGAGGCAGATGCCAGGCCTCTGCCCCGAGGGTCCTCTCCCGGTGACCCGGGCCTAGCTTCCACCACGCTCCTGCAGCCCACCTGCCCTTCCTTCCACCCGTTAGGCCCTGGCGCTCTTCTGGGGCCGTGTCCTTTGTCTGAGGGAGGGGGGTGGTCTTGACTGCATGGCTTCATTTAGTCTTTGGGTTTAGGAGCTTAGTGGACAGTAAATAATAATTCCCCTTCCTTGCCCCTCTCTTCTCCTGGAAACAGAACCTGAAAGGCACCCAGAGCGGCATCGACGCCAGGACCCACTGAGGCAACCCCGTCGGTTTCCATGCCAGTTCCATTCCTACCGCTTAGTTAGTGCTTTTCCATCTACCCGAGGCCAGCGATCCCAAGGACTGCTTCCAGCCCGGGGTGGGTGGTGTGGAAGCAGGGCCCGCCGGCCGCAGAGAACCGTGCCCCCCACCCGCCAGCGGCGGGGCGGCCCAGACCCCAGGAGGCCTCTCCTCGTGTGCTCACATGCGTGGAATCCGTGCTGTGGCCACCCCCGCCCCGCGCTCTCCTTGGCCTCGCGGACCCTCCACGGGGCTTGGGAAGGACAATGAGCCATGGAAGAAGTGGGACGAGCCCCTCCCCAGGAGGGGACGTTGGCCTCCATGCTGTTTCGTTTTGTTGTAGTTTCTATGATCCTGACCTGGTATGTCCCCAGCTTGGGGAGGTGACGCTGGCCCCACAATCCTAAAATTCAAGGCAGCCTAGATCCCAGGTGCTGAAGATGATGGGATGGTGAACACTTTCACAGGGCTCTTCTGTGCCTCGGGGCCCGGAACGCTGCCCTGCGAAGGAAGGGTGCGGACGGGTGCGGGGCGGGGGCCGCAGGTGGAGAGGGGGGCGGTGATCCAGATGCGCTTGTGCCATCAGCAGCCCCCTGCCGCGGGTCCCCACGCCCCGCCTCTGTTCTGCCCCTGGAGATGCTGACGGACAGTCTGGCCGTTTAGACAAGAGGAAATAATCTTTCCGGCATAGCCCTGGGGCTGCCATCCTGCAAGAACCGAGGCACCTGTGAGGCGGCTCCCCGGGGGCTGCTTGCTTTTGCACTTTCTAAGTGGCGGAGCACGAGGCCAGAGAGATGCACCTTCTCTGGAGGACCTTGGGTGATGTCTGGGTTTGGTGCCCCGGGAGGCCAGAGCTCCGTGGGGAGTGGGGCATGCTGCCCACGCGATGGGGAGCTCTGGGGGACCCCAGTCCACCAGCCCGGGAGCACACTGTTCAGATCATTGCAAGGCTGACCCAGCATGTGGAGCAGAGGTGATCAGGGGTCCGGCCTCCTTCCTTCCGGGATGTTTGTCGCCTCCCTGTGTTTCCCGGGAGGGGACAGTGGCCCAGCCCAGGCCTCAGCTGTGGCCACTTCCAGGAGGCTGGCTGTGGTCTCCTGGTGGGACTGAGCTCAATCCTGCGTATTTTTGTGGAGCATCTGCTGTACACCTGGCACGCTGCCGGGTTGCTCAGAATTCCGAAGAAGAGAATGTCCTCGCTTGCCTTTGTGGCTCCTGTGGCATCTTTGGGGGGGTGGTTCAAAGCAGGGCTTGTGGGACATACGGTTCTGAAGACCTGTAGTGTCTGCCTGCTGGTTTCTCCTTGCTGCCTCCGTGGACTGGGGACGAGGAGGTGTCTTGAGGCCCAGAAGAAAGGATTTGGAGACTCTGGTAGAATTTGTCCAAATGACCCTTTGAAGGATCTCTAAAAGCTGGTGCCAAAGGTCACTTCCCTTGCTCGCCCTCTGCTTTCGAGCCTGACAGCCTCGCCCCTCCTAGGTCTCAAGGCAGGTGCTGGGAGCGGGGTCGCTGGGGCTTGGACATCCAGAGTGGGAACCGGACGATGCGCGTTTCCCTGCTTGGGGTTCGGTGGGAACCTGGGGTGTGCTTCAGATACCATAGAGTCCCATCCGTGGGGTTCACACCGAGCCATTCAGATCCTCCCCCCATTCTTCCCCCGTGGGGCACTTTGCCCAAGAGGATGTCCGTGTATCCCAGTTCCTGTGCAACCGAAGATGGGTTGATTTCCCTTTCCTACCATCCTGAGTCCCGTCAGACGGCAAGTGTGTGTGTGCACCAGCACGTGCTTGTAGGTTGGTCGTAGTTTTTGACAGAAGGGCCTGCGGCTCTGCTCTTGAGAATGGCCTTCTCCTTTTCACGCTGGCTGCCGGAGCCGACTCGGAGTCTTGACCCTTCCCAGCTATCCAGGTGGGGCCCTGTGCAGGTGCATCCCCCCTGCCTGACTGCTGAGGTCGGTCCCTACGGAAGCAAACATCCTGAACAGCCGGCTGTAAAGGCCCAGGTGGGGCGAGAGAACAAACACGGACGAGGAGAGAGACCTCTGAGAGAACAGAATGCTGTCCAGATGAAAGCCGTGATCGGACTTGAGGCGCTGGACGGAGGGAGTGTTTGAGCTGCAGTCACGGGGCACCTGCTGCTCTGGACTCTTGCCTCTCACCCTGCCCCCCACTCCACCCCCTGAAAAATATCCGGGACCAATTTTGTTAACTTAGCATAAGTTTGTTTTTGGGTGGGTTTACCCCTGCCCGTAATTCTGTCCTGAGACCACGGGCGAAGCTCATCACTTGCGGGGAGAAGAGACACAACCACACCAATGATGTTTTCGTTTGTAATACTTGAAATTTATTTTTTTATTATTTTGATAGCAGATGTGCTATTTATTTATTTAATATGTATAAGGGAGCCTGAAAATAGAAAGCTGTATAGATTGGGTTTAGTTGTTCGTTGGTTGGTTTGGGGGCCTTTTACGTGTGACTTAAGACTTCTCTGTGTTCTGTATGTTGTCTGAATTAATGACCTGGGATGAGGCTGTGCCAGCTTTCAAACAGGGGATGCTTTTCAGAAATTTGTATATTTTGCAATTGCCGAAACAATAAAATACCTGGTTGAAATAAGCGGATGAAGTGTACCTCTGATCTTTCTCTGGGGGTGTGGGGGGTGTGGTGGTGGTGACACTTGTGGTCAGTGCACCAAGTTTCTACCACTGGGCTCTTGACTGACCTACCATCCATCATCGTCCTTTAACCAGGACATGCAGGTCCTGATAGGTCCTGGTGGACTAGAACACCCAGTTTACAGTAGGGTGCCCTTTGGGTTCTATGGGTTTTGACAGATCCATACTGATGGGGTGTCCCATCACCACATACAGAGGCCCCACGTTTTGTGTTCCCTTCCTCCCACACCCTTGCTCTTCAGCCCATTCAACAGAAGCATGCTCATGCAAGCATTGCAGCTCATGATGGCCCCAGGCAGAATTAGAGGAAGGCATTTGGTTTTAGGTTCTGGGTTCCTTTCACTTTCCCTGCCGTCCCCCCACCCTCTTGTGGCCCTTTCAGTTTCTACTGGGGAAAAAACTCAGTCGAACTTCTAGGGTCACTCTACTACTATTCCTGAGCAAGTTATTTTACTTTAGCACTTTTGTCTCTACGGATGAGGACTTTCTCATACAGGCAGGGTCGAGGGCTGGATGAGAACACGTGAGTGGCCGGAAGGCAGCCCTGAGTATCTCCTTTACACAGAGTATTGATGACCGACAGTGCTCTCATTGGGTCTGACTTTTCTCCCGTGGGCGCCCCCTGTTCTCCAGAAATAGACCTTGCTCCCAAATAATACTTTCCGCCTCCCTTTCGCTTTCTCAACCCTAGCTGTGAAGAGAACAGGAGTCAGCAGTTGGGCACCTCTATTCCAAGGTTATCTGTAACCAGCGTGGTGGGGCCAAGAGCTTTGATAAAGGGCCTTGGCTGGCAACAGGGAGTGCAGGCAGCCGCTGCAGGCCGGGCCTGACCCACGCTTCAGGCCAGCCTCTCAAGTTCTGAGCCCATGTTTGAGTGCTCGTTATGTGTTGGGTGCAGGGCTTCGCGATGTGGCCTTCACAGATGTGGGTCTTTGCCCCTAGATTGGGGCTGATGTCTTAGGTTATCTACCAAAGAAATTAGAAGGTGGTCCTAAAAGAGGTTGTATGCATACTTTTTTTTTTAAGATCCCATTTATTCATGAGAGACTCAGGCAGAAGGAGAATTAATCCGGCTCTGTGGGGAGCCCGATGTGGGATTCAATCCCAGGACTCTGGGATCACAACCTGAGCCAAAGGCAGATGCTGAACCACCCAGGTGCCCCTGTTTGCATACTTTAAAGTCCTAGGCCTACCAGGTGATGGGAATCTGCAAGTTTCATGACCTTTTGGGCAATCTCCTGAATACATCTGTGTGTCACCTTGGGCCAGAGCTATAATGACTGAATAAATATTGAGGAAAGGGTGACCAGGTGGGTGAGTGGGGGAAGAGAGGCAGAAAGCTGCGGGAAGGCGAATGCCAGAAGGAAATTGATTCATTACTGAGGTCCTACAAGCCATGCTCTGCCTCTTTGTACCTTGAAAACCAGAGTAGGAATTCCCCTGGAGCAGATAAAGGTATGCTAAGGACTAACCACTACATTGCGGAGGACTTAGTTAACCATCTTCGGGGACCCTTAGGTAAACCTGTTACTGTCACATCTATTTTATGGATGAAGAATCTGAGACTTAATGAAGGTAACTTAGCCCTTCCGTTGGCAGGTAAATTTTAGTGATTCAAATCCAGGTATCTGGGACCCTAGAGTTGGTGGCTTTAACCGTTAAAAAATGTCCCCTCCATGTCTCCTTGGTCTTTCCACAGTAAAGTGAGTTAGCAGTGGAAGCAGAGCGGCTTTAAGCTGCTTGCCTGTCGGGCTGGGAGGTATGGGCGTTCCCTCCCATCATGCTCCCTGTGGTGCTCAGCTGGTGGTCAGATGGTCAGGATCTTTAGAGAAGTCATCAGCAGAAGATGGGAGCCATGGCTCAGATTTCGGAAATCCCCAGGTAATATCCAAAATCTATCTTGGCAGGAGTTCCTCCCAAGAATTTTATTGGCACTTTCAAGAAGTAGCAGATAGCACTGTGCCATAAAGGGTGGGAGGCCCAGGAGGGGTGGGGAGTGGGCAAGTGGGTGCTCAGGGAGGTTTACCTCTGAGTAAACAGAGCTGGTGGCATCACTCTTCTGGGGAGCTGGGCAGGACCTGCATTCCTGATGCTGAATGCTCCCCCCGTGTAGTCCAGACCTGCTGGTGGGAGCAACCAGCCAGTCTGACTCTCGTCACACTTTGCCCTCAGCTCCTTTAACATTTTTCTCACCAGCATTGTTGGGAATATTTTAATTTGGGATTATTTAATAAACTGAACTGAGAAAAATAGTCCAGTATTTGAGAAGCAGCAGCAAATTAGACCATAGTATTGCACCATCCATTTGAGCGAGGTGTTAAAAAGTATCAAACTATTAAAAAGGAGAAGTAAATACTGGGTGGACAAAAATCAAGCTTAAAAGCTGTAAAAGAAGCCACAGAGGAAACACTGAGATTCCACAATGTAAATACTTCTAACTTCAAAGTCATTAGCCACCGTTGTAAGTAAAAGACTGTAGGAAAGAAACCTAATGGTGGTGGGGAGGTGGGTGGGTTCAGTGGAGAAGCGTCCCCTTGTGCAACAGGCTTCATGACATTGCGTTGTCAGTGAATCCTTGATGCTGGGGTCAGGTGGGGGTACAGGTAAGCTCTTTCCAGGCTGCAGGCATCAGAGTAACTCTACTTTGACATGTTGGATCACTGAACAAAAGATGCCTCACCTGGATATTTTGGCAACTGCATTTGGTGAGTAAAGGACAGAGGGGACACTCAAGGTGGGTGGGACTCAGTTCATCTCCAAGTCCTGGCTGTGTGATAGAATTCAGGGACTGGGGCGATGAACTGACCAGGCAACCCCAGGCTTTGGAGATGGATAGTCCCAGGTCCATCTCTTTTCCCACCACGTTCTAGATGTGTGGCCTTTGACAAGTTCATGTTTTTTAACTTGTTTCTCAATCATAAAGTGGAGAACTTCATACCACATTTTTTAAAAATAAGATTCACTATCTTTTTTTTAATTTTTAAATAAGATTCACTATCAATTTTTATTTTTTTTTATTTTTAAATAAGATTCACTATTGATTTGATTTTCACACAAAGCAGAATGAACCATCTGCACATCCAATGCAAGAAAAAAGTTGAACTTTTGGGTGTGTTAAATGTAGACAAAATTTATCCTTAGAAGTGGAGAAATACCATAATTGCTTTTCAGACTTTGTGAGGGACTTTTATAAGTGAGACCTTGACGGAGTAAGCACCCAAGTGATAGCTATTAATCTAATGATGCGCACCAGGTGCTTCAAATGCAAAGTAGATATTGTTATTCCCACCTTATAGAGGTGCGGCTGAGGCCAGGAGAGCTGAAGGATCCTGCTTGATTTTTGCCTAGCCACTACTAGGGGTAAGCCCCAGGCTGGTTAGACTGCCAAATCACGCAGCCTAAGAACCACACGGCTGAGCAAGGCCCTGCTGGATGAGTCACCAACCACAAGACTGGGGCCGAGTTGCGTGTTAATTAGCAAGCTGGCTTTTGTGTCCTGGGGCTGTGGAGAGGTCTGTCTGCATCCAAATGAAGAGCAGATTTTCTTTAAAGGCCTGTGATTCAGGAGGCTTGGAGAGCCTTGAAGACCAGATATCCAGTGTCTAAGGTTCTGTGTTTTCCTCCACTCACCTCTTCCAAATAGGGCCTATAGACCAGCGTCTTTGGGGCTATCCTATTCCTGAGTGTACATGAAGACTTTCGTACACGAAAAGACTTTTCGTATCACACACATGTAGATAGTTTTAGGGGAATAGATTTACAGATCCTCAACTTCCATAATCACTCTTTATTATTTTTTAAATATATTTTTAATTTATTTTTATTTTTTATTGGAGTTCAATTTGCCAACATATAGCATAACACCCAGTGATCATCCCATCAAGTGCCCCCCTCAGTGCCCGTCACCCGGTCACCCCATCCCCCTGCCCACCTTCCTTTCCACCACCCCTTGTTCCTTTCCCAGAGTTAGGAGTCTCTCATGTTCTGTCTCCCTCTCTGATATTTCCCACTCATTTTCTCTCCTTTCCCCTTTCACTATTTTTTATATTCCATCACTCTTTCTAAAACAGCCTGAGAAGTTTACCCACCTTCACAGTTCATGTTTCTCTGCTTTGCAAACAAAAGGCAATCCCTCACCCACCCCAAAAGCAGTTACTAGAGTGCATTGCCCAAGGGTGGAAACATCTCCTGGGCACCCAGCAGAGGGAAGCCTCCTTTAATGATTAACTCCAGACACGGTGAACGCCCATGGATTTCTTTCCTAACCTGGCTCTCTATTAAAGCTGGGATTCCGCTACTACTGGAATGTTCTAAATTGAGAACAAGTGAAGCACTATAAATTAGTGCAGCAGTTCCCCGACTTTCTGGTCTCAAGATTTTTTTACACTCTTAAAATTACTAAAGATTCCAAAGAGCCCTTGTTGATATGGATTTCTTCTACCCATATGTAGTGTATTTGAAATGAAAACCGTGACATTTTTTTAAAAAGACGTGTACTTAATAATTTATTTTAAAATAACAAACTCCTTATAGGTGATAAATGACATATGTGAAGCAACTGATTTTCAAAATAGAAAATATGCAGTGAGAAGAATGGCATTTGTATTTTTTTATAAATCTCTTTCAGGGCTAATTCTCATATCTGATTTTGGTATTCCATCTGTTGTGATATATTTATTGCTTGGGTTGGAGTAAGTATATAATGAAAATCTGGCTTCATACAGTTATGTAGATGAACATGGGCAGAGTATATTAATATCCTTTTCAGATAATCATGAGTATTCTTTGATCCTACACCCAAAGTGGACACATTATAGTGTTTTAAAATTTTGTTGGGGTGTTGGATCTGCAACGGTATCAGTGAATTTTTCATACTTTGTTACATTAAAATTCATTTGGTTGATCTTGCTCTTTGAATTGATTTTTTTCAGCCATGCATAATTATA